GTGAGGGTATTTAACAAATATTGATAAAAATGCTGATTAATTTATTGTTGTTGAATTTACTATAAAATATTTATTATTCTTTTCAAATAATTGGTTTGAAGGGGTAGAAATCTGATTTTCACAATGTATCTATCTTGTTAATGTTAAAATGTAATAGATGTTTTTCTGTTTCTTTTGAGGTTTTTCACCTATTGAGCTATGGGCTATGGACTATTGAGCTATGAGCTATGTGGACCATCATGCAAAAATAAAGATGAGTCAACTAAATTAAAGCCTCTTTGAGTGAAATCCAGTTCAAAGTTCACAGTGGAAACGATCTCTTTCAAGTGGGGATCACACAGTAAACCAAACCGAAAAAAAACTTGACAATACTTATTTTACCCGCTGTATATCTATATCTATATATAAAGCATTATTAGTGGCAGCAGGCAATAATAAACCTATATTTTTATACTGAGGCCTGAATCTGAACGCAGAGCAGCGTTATGTAGAACTAAGTTAAAAGGTAAAGAAACGATAACCTTGATGTGTCAGATTAGATAACCTGCCTTTCTCTGAAGCAGCTGGGACTTTGAACAGAGTGTATTTGGTCTTCCCTTTCTCTGCCACCGAAGTTCCAAAGTTGTAGGCATTGCCTTCTTTGTCATACTGTGGATGGGACGTGGCCAAGTTTACCGGCAGGTACTTCAAGTAGTCCACCTGTTGGACCCATAAATCATGAGCTTGGAAACAAAAGTGACAACAAAATCCACCAGGAACGTGTCGGTTACCTTGTCGTGAGTTTCCAGGGTGACCGGATCGATTTTGCGGATGTAGTTGGTTTCGGAGGTGGCGTAATAGGTATTTCCATATTTTATGATGTTGCTCGCTCCGTTGTCAGTGAAGTCAGGCATAGTGTGGTTCAGAAACGTGATCGCCCTGAAAACGTGCCAGAAAATATGTTGTCTTTATTTTTACTGCAGGAAGGAAGACATAATTCGGCACACGCCTGGAGATGTCAGTGCCTCTGACGTTATTTATGACCCCTCATTATAAAACCGTAACRTGGAAAGATGCCATATAAACATGCAGATGCACAGGAAGCATCAAAATTCCCATTCTAACTAAAGTTATACAACTACTGAAAACAAACATAACTATAACTCGATCAATTTATATAGATATTAAGATAAAATTGGATGTGGTGGCAGCTGACACAAACTCCCAGCGCTAACAGTTCTCACAGTATCACATGAGATAATGAAGATCATTTAGAAGCTTTGAACAAAACTACTCTGTTCCTTCTAAAGATGAGATGGCTTTACTTTAAAAATCTGCCACAAACAGCTCAAGAAATTCTTATTTATTGCAACTTACTTGAAAATAAAGTTCTTGCTTGGGTCTGGATAGGCCATCGTTCCCATTTCTGACACAACTATCCTGTTTGCAGCCATGTTGGCATTGTAGGAGTCACTTCTGAGGAACCTGCTTCGATGGGTCACTTCACCTGTGAGAAAAAAAAGAGAAAATATATTAAAACCAGACCAAACAAACAGAAAAAGTTCCAGAAATTGACAAAGAGTGGCTCATCTAACCATCTTTGATAGTGAAGCTGGTCAGTATTGACAACCCATCAAACCAGTGATCATAGCTGGTCTCCCCCACAGAGAAGATTCCTGGTCCGTTACGTAGGAGAATCCCATGAAGCCAGCTGGGGATGCTTCCTGTTTTCAAATAAAACATTTTAAGCATTCAAGTTTACTTTTGACACATACGTTGCTTTTGCAATCAAACTAACCTTTAACTTCTGCCTTAAAATTCTCCGGACGCTCCTTTGCATTGTTGGAAAAGTCAGGGTTCATGTTTGCTGACGGTGCAGAAGGGAATGCAGCGACCAGTCCAGATCTCTCCCTTAAAGCTCTCGTCTCATTTGGGGGCATGGCAAAGGAGGAGCTATCCGTCAATGAGGTTTCCTTCCCTCCTCCTTTCAGGGAAATCCTATTCTGCATACTCTCGTCGACATAAACCAGGAAAAAACAAAGTGAACAAATCATTTGAAAAGGACATTTTCACTTCCACAAATTAATGATTTATTTTAGCCTGTGTTCATTAATGAACTGCATCCATTGCAACTAGATTAAACACCCACCAAGCAAATTTCTACAGAACACTAAGAATGTATTTGGTCTATTCATAGTTTTATCAGTTTTTAAGATTGCAAATTACTTTATGACTACATTGGATCTTATACTGTTATTAGCTGTGTGCTTCTGCTTCATGTAAGACATTACAGCCTCTGTTCTTTGAAAAGTTTATACTTGGAATGATATAAAGGCTATTAAACAATCCGATATATCTTTATTTTTCTGTTTGTATGTGTCTTGTATTAAATGACTGAGATCTGCAGGGAAGTCTTGGTGGAAGTTTTGCCCACATTTAAAGACAGGAATTTTAGCTTTGGCTTGGTCTCGATCCAATTAGTGGTTGTTTTTTTATTATAAAGGAATGCGAAGGTCACTTTATGTGCGTGAGCAGAGTATCCTGTTTATAAAAATTTTACTTGGTCTATAATTGTATTGTCCTTACTTCCTAATCGTAACAACAGATGCTTTTTTTTCTTTCTGCCTTAAGCTGTTGAACACATCTAGTTTGATCGCTGATTAACAATCCGTGTTTTACGTTATCAGTGGGTGCACAATTTCATATGCACTTTGTAGAAATCAGTTTAGGATGAAGAACACTGTCGTCCTGGGAGGAGCTCTGCCGATGGTCTGCACCGAAAAGAGTCAGTTGAGGTGGTTCTGATTAGGATACCTAGGGTGCGCCCCACTGGTAACAGGCTCTGGGGCTTGACTTACAAGTTGGAGGGTTTGTATTTTGTATCACGGTATGTATTTTCAAGGGACATAGTTCAATTCTATACTACAATATTACCTTCAGTTGTTACAAAAATGCTGTATAAAAAATTGAACTTTGCATCATAGCCTAAATATCTTGAAATTGGCCTCTTGTCTCTTTAAAAACATCTTACCATTTCCAACACTCCCACTTCAGCACGTCTTCACGACAATATTTCAGGGGAGGGGTGCTCTGTGGGGCGAGGGCTCTGCTGCAGACTGAGCTCCAGGGAGGAGCTTTGTACAAATGGGTGGTGCTTTATATACCAGAAAGTGTTTAGGCAGCTCCACGTGGCTACTACAAGAGATTCAAGGATTTCTAAAACATGTGAATGAGTCAAAGCAACACACTTGGTTTGTTTGTGATGACGGGAATGACATCATTACATGATATAAAGCAAAAAAATCTTTGACTCATTGATCAAATCATTCACGTGCAAAAAAATTGTTTTGGTCCAAGCACAGAAGCCTGAGGAACTCCATAACTAATTTTACATACATTATTTAYCTGTGYAAACTGTTTCCTAKTATTCAGATAACTAGACATCCACTAGTGCTCATCCTCTAATGTCTTATTTAATCATTTCAATAAGACTGCTGTGGTCGAGTGTCAAATGTTTTCTTCAGATCAACATAAACACTGTATTTTTTTTAACAGCAGTTGATATTTCTTCCATTAATTCTGAGAGCCTTTGATGTTATTTGTTCCATTACTAAAATATTTTTGTTCTTCTATAAATTGATCTAACCTGGTTTCAAATAATTTCTCTCAAATTTTTGAAAACTGCGGCAACAAGGTTATTGATCTGTAATTTGTGAACACACATTCCTCCCCATTCTTATAAAGAGGAATTACCTTAGCTATTTGCATATTGTCTGGAAATGCATTCTGAACGTTTACATTTATTACTGTTTTTATCATTTATCTTGTTTGATAACTGTATATCTTATTACAAATGGTCTTTTTAGCTATAATCTGAAGATTATCTTTCAGTGACTATTTGAATAAGTCTCCAGGCAAGAGTTTCTCTGGGTTGTTTCTCTTATGTACTGTATTTGCCATATAATAAGATAAAGGCTTCATTGGGTACAAAGGTGGCTGCATTGTAGAAATAGTCAGAAGACTTGGCTAAAGGCTGGGGCTCATATTTCCAAACTAGAATTCACATAAAAACTTGACCAATTTCTATATGAATGTAAAATACTTTTTCATGTTAGCTTAAAGTGCCTGTGACATGCATATCTTTCAAATACAAAAAAGTAAAAAAAAATCATTTTATATTTAAGAAATTTGGCATAATACACAGCGTTACACATTTTATCTTGTAAYTGGCAGATCTTCTTTTTAATTTGCTCAACTATAATGAAACAGGAAGTGACATCAAAGGGGAACTCTTTGAGGAAGAAAATTCCCTGGTCTTTTGTTTAATGAAACAATATGATTTGAACTCTGACACATCTTCATCTCTCACTAATAGACTCAAAATAACCTAAAAAACATCACATTCTTCTCTACACTCTGTGCTGTCATATTGTAACAATGCTCTGTTCACATTCAGACATTCCCCTTTGACATCACTTCCTGTTACGTCACATGCAAATATCTCAACAACTGTTCATCCCAGTGGTGTGAATTTCTTTTTGTGATATGWCATCATTGTTATCTTTCAAAAAAATAACTCACATTTACTACAAAAATTTGATGCCGCAGGCACTTCAATGTGCCAGACAACTTGTTTGCAAAATTGTTGATACTTTCAAAACATCTGCAACAAAACATTTCAGGGTGAAGAGGCCTCACTCACTTGGAGTGAGATCAAATATATGAACACAATACTACACTGTCTTCAGATGCCTCATGATTATCAGCCTGTGCCCCCAAAAGAACCCTCAAACCCTCATTTCCGGTAGAAAATACCATTAAACTCAGCCATGAAATTACATTCAGCGATTTCTCTTCATGTCAAAGTGAACAAACTATAATTCCAGTTCATCTTCCCAACATTAAACATTTTTTGATGGAATGAGACACACGACAGGAAATAATTTGGTGTTTATTGTCAAGAAGAAATCAAAATGAAACAGACAAATTCCTATTTTCAATACATTCATAGAATGTCACAAAAGTGTCGACTGCTACTTTAGTCAAACAGAACCAAAACGGTTTAGGAGTTTTCGGTTTCCTTTGTTTAAAATCAGCCTGTTGGAGCATTAAATTCAAGACAACACGTTTTGTAAGATGCCTGTCGGAGAATAATGTTTATTTGCACTGCCCAGACTGTTATCAGCTGTGCTGATCTGTATTCAAGTATTCCCTTGCATTTTCCTGTTTATTTTTTGTGTGTTGTCGTTAACTTCCCTGGTTATGTGTGGATTACATCATGTGGCACAGAATAAAGTTTAAGTTAACATTAACTACACGTACAAAAAAAAAAAAAAAAAACTGGTCTCACATATGTATATGCTGTTTTGTTTACAATGCAGACCCCATGCAACAATACCACATGCATTTATAGAAAGTGCATGAAGAGGAGCTAAAACATGAGCAGAGACCACCTTGATCCCACCAGCAGGAGCCTATATCCCAGAAACCACTGCATGATTTCTGTTTGAACCCAGTGAAACGCAAACAGGCAGCACACACTTCCTTTCTAAAAGATGTGAGTTAAAGATAATCGCGTGAAAAAAATGACACCCCCCACCCCAGTTGTCAAATCTAACCGAAGTCGGTGTTTCACACCGCCAAATGTTACCGCACCTGAACACCCTGTGACTTGTCACAACATGCAGAGAGAACGTGTATCAGGAGAAAACTAACACCACACACATATAAAAACAGAGGTGTTAACACCGTGTATTTACCATGAAGTCACACTGGCAAACACAAGTTTCAAAAGTTCAAAATTCAAAGCAAAATCGTATTTAAAAAAAATCCTGCCATTTGAAAACCACAAAGGCAAAACTAATCACATTAGATGGGCATCAGACTTGGAAAGAACACTAGTGAATCACGAAAAACAAGCTTTGCGGTTCTGTGAGGAGTGGAGAGTGAAAATATTCAGTCATTAGTTGTTCTACAGAGGCAACAGAACCAAAGGCTGAGCAAAGCAAGGCATATGTTCAAAACAATCCATGTTTCTGCCCAACTAACTGACTGAAGCTTGTTGTACAGCTCATAAAATAAAGAAAAACTACAACAAAAATTCAAGTATTAAAGGTCCTTTTAGGCTAGAGGCTTTAATTTGAATCATTTCAACTAAAAATGATGTCCTAAAAATCAAACCTATCATGTAATACGATGAGGACATTAATTTWTCTCAACTTTTTTTTAAATGTCCTGATTTTATCCGGTCCAATCACGAAAGAATAAATGGAAAGGAACATAATTGTGTTTTGCAGCTAAGATTTTTACATCATGAGGCAGAAGCTATCACATTTATTAAACATGTACAACCTGCACCTACAATACGCCATTAAATACTGTTTTTGTATTTTATTCAAAAAAAGAAATACTTGGGGATGAAATAAAAAAATCTCAAAATTCCTAAATAGTGAAAAAAGTCATAATCCTTAGAAAAATTGTTACTTTAGAATTTTTTTAATTCTTCATTGTTTCACCTGAATCTGAGCTCATCATCATCATCATCATCATCATGGCAGTTTCATCCCTATACATCAACTGCACAATATGAAATAAATACAAAACAAGTGTAGAAAATATCATTTAAAATATGATTTTCTTACTTTCTATATATGTTTCTTCCCTCTTTTTGGTTTAAAATAAAATGTTGATCCAAATCATTATGTTTAACAGATCATTTAGTCTCAACATTTCAATTCTGAACTGTGAATTTGTTGTTGTTGGTGTGCAAACCTGGCCATTGGTTTGGCGTTTCCCTTTTAAAATTTCTAAAAGTGCCCTTTGTTTTTTTTTCTTTAAAAATTGTAAAGAAAGATTTACAACTCCAATTCTGAAAAAGTTAAAAAGATACTTAAAATGTAAATTAAAACAGATTACAATGATTTGCAAATCTCATAAACCCATATTTTATTCACAATAGTTCGTGGCAAAAATTTTATCATAAACTAAAAAATAACTTTTTGTAGGGAAAAGTATGTTAGGTCGTTTTGAATTTTAAGACAGCAACACATCTAAAAACACAAGAAATTTGGAGAAATTTGCAACTAACAACTTGAGATTAGTTTTGCTGCTATAAAACTCAAAATTATTTTTAATGGTATTAATTTCAATACTTTTTTATATTTACTAAGCTCCATTTTTAATAAAATATGGGTTTTATAAGATAAGATACAACAACATCTTAACATTTTTGGAATTGGTGTTGTAATGATGTTTTAAAACCCATTTGCCTTGATCCCAGCAAGACAAAAAAAAAAAAAACTAAACACAGAGTACTGATGCCCATTCAATAAACTTATATAAAGGCAACTGAAAATTAAGAAATTCTAAAAATATAARCGTTTAAATTCATTAAATGTCAGTGGATGAGTGTTAAAATTCCTCCTTGTTCTTCTGTGTGACACAGAGCCAATAAAAAATTTTAGGCTTCCCTTACAGCTTTGCCTCTTCAGGAACATACATTTGTATTTTACCCTTATAAATGTGCAGCTCAATAAAACAAAAACAAATAAAACAGAGTCCCCTGTTAAACAGCAGAACTTTGTAAGTAACAGTAAACATTTTTGACAAGTTTCTGGTTGAACTGGCAGTTCTTTTGTTCCAAGATGGCCTCTTTTCTTTAGTCATTGCAAATTGTTAATGGTAAAAAAATAAAATAATAATAAAATAATTGGCCATGCACACAAAGTATTGCTTAGAAGTCTTATCATGGCTTAGGGATGGCCGGCTTACTGGTCCATCAGTACATTTAAGGGACCGTCTGCCTTCCCAGAAGAAAAGTGACAACTTTTCTTTGTTACATTCGATCTTGCAGGGTGAAGTCGTACATGTAGGTTCGCTGCCATCGTAGCAACCTGATTCATACAACTGAGAGCAGTGTCACTTTGTCTCTCGTGACATTTTTTTACACCACTGCCACCCCGATTCCCTTAATCCGTCTTCCCGTTCTCCTGAGGCGTTGCAGTTTTGCTCCGGCGTGCAGATCGCAGGACCTTGTAGCAACCCCGCGCGATCTTGTGCATCCACATGATGTTCATGATGTCCAGGCAGATACTGGAGCAGATCCAGGCCACGCGGCCTCCCCAGGGCACCAGGTAGAACGCCTTGGTGCCGTAAACTGCATACATACGACTGTAGTACACCGGCATGACGGCGATGCGGACCATAAAAAAGACTAATGCCATGGCGACGCCATTTGCCATATTGGGCCGGGATGACTTGGGATATCCTAGGACTTCAAAGAACCAACTGAAACAAAGAACGTTTGTGTGAGAATGCTGTCCAAGAACAAATGGTAGCCTCCAAGATTTCTATTGGAGACCAGTTGAAAACTCAAAATTGTGAGAAAATGGCATAGTTGTAAAGTAACTAAGTACAAATACTTTATTACTGTACTTAAGTAGAATTTTTGGGTAATCTGTACTTTACTTGAGTAATTATTTTTCAGCCTACTTTTTACTTCTACTCCTTACATTTTCACACAATTATCTGTACTTTTTACTCCTTACATTTTTAAATAAAGCAAGAAGTAGAAAGTCGTTATTTTTATTTCATTTTT